CTTTGTTAATAACCAGTATGCAACAGCTGTTTGCTTAGATATAGAAAAAGCTTATGACATGGTCTGGAGGAACCCAATCCTAAGAATTCTCCAGAATTTTGGCCTTTGTGTAAACATCCTTAATTTTATCAGTAACTTCCTGTCTATAAGAACTATCCAAGTTAGAGCCAACAACGTCCTATCCACCACAAAAATTCTAGAAAACGGAGTACCTCAAGGCTCCGTCTTAAGTGTATCGCTATTCCTAATCGCTATAAATGACATACTGGACAACATACTAATCCCGGTCAAAGGACTTTTATTTGCCGATGACTTAACCCTATTATGCAAAGGAAGGAACCTCCATACCATCCAGATTCAACTACAAGAAGCACTAGATAAATTGCAGAAATGGTCACTTACATCAGGGTTCAAATTTTCTTCCACCAAGTCTAAAATAATTACCTTCAGCAGAAAGAAACAACATGCGAACATAAAACTAACTCTTGATCATCTGACAATCAAGGAAACATCTTCTACCAAACTATTAGGATTAACATTTGACTCTCAGCTAACATGGACGCCTCATATTAATAAACTCAAAACTGATAGCTATCAATGACTTAACACACTTAGAACAATAGCTGCAAATAACTGGGGAGCCGACCTCAAAATCCTACTCCTAACGTATAAGGCAATAGTGAGATCAAAACTGGACTATGGATCAATCATATACAACTCAGTCAACACCAACATATTAAAGAAATTAGACCCTGTACACAACAATGCTCTCAGATTAACTGTGGGCGCCTTCCGCTCCAGCCCGATCAACGGCATCCTTAGCGAAGCTTCAGAATCTCCACTACGAATCGGAAGAAAATACCTAAGTATCAAATTTGCAGTCAGAATCGCCTCCCACCCACAGAACCCAGTCTTCCACAATGTATTCAGAAATAACAACCTAAATCACTTGCAGCAAAAGAAAAGAACACCTTATCCACTCTGCTACAGAATCAGCAATTATTTGAAGGAGCTTGGCATGGAAATCCAGCTCAGATCGAGCAGATCTATCCCCAGCATCCCTCCGTGGACCTTTCCAAGAATTAACACTAACACCTCTCTACTGAACTACAGTCAAAAGAAATCTAATCCAATCATGTTAAAGGCTATGTTTCAAGAATTAGAAGCGGGACTCGCAAACCACGTGCACATATACACAGACGGGTCCAAGGCACCAATTGGATCCGGATACGCAATTGTCAGGAACCAGTCAATCGAGAAAGTTAAACTTCACCACAAAACATCTATCTTTCTATGCGAACTTCAAGCAATTAAACAAATATAAATTTTGCAATTTCCTGTAACTCTACAAGCGCCATCTCAGCAATACAGAAACTATGGACAAGTGACCCTGTCATCCAAGAATGTCAAGAAGTCTATACCAGATCAATCCAAAAGAACAATTCAATAACAATAATATGGATTCCTTCCCACATTGATATAAATGGCAATGAAAAAGCAGACCGCGCAGCTAAAGAAGCAGCCAACTCAAATACCCCCAACCACCTCGACAACAGCACACATCTGGAAACGTTACTGTCCACTCTTAAAGAAAAAATTAAAAATTTTTGGAACAAAGAGTGGAGTGCATTAACAAAACCCCGTATAAAATTAATAAAAAACGACTTTTACGAAAGATCCATTACCTGGAAATTACCCAGACCAGACCAAGTGATAGTATCTCGAATTATTATAGGCCACACTAAACTGACCCATCAACACCTCCTCCACAAAGCAGACCCACCAATATGCGACACGTGCAATGACCACCTCATATTTGATTTTTGATCGAGTTGTTAACGCGTCATCAGATTCTCGGAGCTCGCTCTGGGTAGTTTCGTAGCCAGCGAATAGCAGGCTTCCTATTTGAGCGGCTTGGTCTCTGAAGCCCGTGTCTTTTGGGCGACAGTTCAGCAATTACGATTTTATAATTAGAGTCAATTGATTTGCTACCCTGTCGGACTTATACTGTTCACCTGATTCTGGTATCGTTGGGTCGTTCTAGTAGCCGGCTAACGCAGGCTCCCCAATTAAGCGATCTGGTTTCGGCTGTCAGTGTTCGTTTTGGCTAAAAGTCCAATTAAGCGATCTGGTTTCGACTGTCAGTGTTCGTTTTTAGCTAAAAGGATCATGAACCATTAGTTGTAGAGTCGAATAATTAAAAAGAGTAACTGTTCCGAAGAAGTAATTCCTTAGATTCAGATAAAATTTGGTCATTTGAGTTAATAAAGAATACTGTTCTGACTCTAGCGTAATTTCCGTAGTCGACTATACCGCGTTAGATTTTGCGAAAGCGTATTTAGGTACACTTAGAGAATCACACTTAGGTCGGATTCCTCGCAGCGGTAGACTATGAAGCGCTAATATTAATTAATTTCGTCAAAAGCATTTATATAAATCACAACCGTACAAATCAAGATAAATTTTGTCATTGCGATAGCTTCGAACACGAGAATCGAATATATAAAGTATTAACCAGCGAGTTTCATTTCGTTAAATTCACGATTATCTATTACATATTGTTTAATTTGTCAAGTTCTATTATTTCTATTATTATCATTATATCAAGATGTATCTAGTTTCTTTGTTCTAATCAATCATTTATAATCTATATATTTTTCTTTATTTTGTTGTTATTGTTATTTGTTAGTTTTATTTCTTATCGTTTTATTGAATAAATCTTATTGTTGAAAGATAACAATAAGATAAACTGAACCTAGATTCCAGGGTCGTTATAATATCATCATCCACAGCAGAAAATATATTTCAATCAGGCAACGGCATAATATAAGACCAACCCTAAAGGACAATCTGAAGGATAACACAACGATCCAAAATCTACTACAGTACCTCAAAATGACTAAATTGTACAACAAGCTCTAATAATGTATTCTCCGAGTCGCTAATAACCCTTAGCGATTGATGCGACTTTAAACAAATAAATGAAAAGAAAAGTAAATAAAATAAAATTGAAGACCTTTTCGTAATGTGTATTATATGCGTTTAGCATTTAAATTTTAATTTATTACCATTTAAATGTTTCATATTAGAGTAAAAAGTATCAATCCCCTCATTAATATTTTCGTAATTTTAGAGAAAATATTGCTGACGATAGAATCTATTATAATCCTCCTGACAAACGAATCGATTTCTCGAAAAAACAAATTAAATTGCTTTTCAAGCTAAAGGAATATGAATAAAACAATAAGATAAAGTTTTTCATATAGGTATGGTATGCTTTATTTACAATATTTTACATCAACGTCGATTTTTTCAGACTTCTGAAATCGTTAAATAGTTACATCAAATCGTTGTTACTTAATACCTGTTTCTATTCTTAGGTCACGTATCACCTAAGTTATTCGTAATTATTATTCTTTGGCTTTACCCAATATTTCATTCATGGACGGTTCAAAATTATCATAAAATTTATAAATTATAAATTACCCTAATAATATGCCTGACTAGCTACAAAATATATAAGTAATACACTAATTGTAAGAGTATCTTTAACAATTAAACACTACAGAAAATAATTTAAGTATTTATAATATCAAAACACGCAGCTGTATTTTAAAAACGGTGCTCTAGAAGGTTTCGCAACATCGTAATCGTAATCGTTCTCATCAAATATTTAAAAATGAATATCTTCAATATGTTTAAAAAATTTTTAAATATTAATATTAATTAATATTATCAAACATTTTTTGCAAATTGTTTAACTACACTAGTATTGATTAATTTAATTACTAACTATGAATATATGTCGAAATAATTATAAAAAAACTCAGCTAATAACACAAAACTTCTAAAAACTACAAAGGTAAAGATTGTGAAATTTTTAAATAATAATGGCACTAAACATTCTTCTCAATTATTATTAATTAGCTACGTACAGTGCTAGCTAGTAGTAAATCTAATAAATCATTCTATTGCATGTATAATATAAATGTTAAAATATAATTATTTATGCTAACATACAAATAATTTATTAATCTCATGCACCTTTGTATAAAATATTTCTTTGGATCATTAGCCGTCTTATTTGTTTTGATATGATCTATAAGTAAAAAATAAATATAAATTACAATACACTTTAAATATAAAGAAAATTAATTTTCATTGACACACACAACGCAAATTCATTGAAAATTAAATATTAAATACATATACATATAATTAAACAATAAAATCAATTTTCTTCCTATCACCGTGTCCTACAATTCGAGATCCAATACTTAATATACATTACAATTGCGTTTAACAAAAATTAGATAAATTAAAATTTACAAAAGCGTTTATACAATAATGTACTCTCTTTTTGTTTCGCTCTAATATTCTATAATCTTCACAAGTTTATAAAATTGATTTTAAATTTTCCATTTTCTACATATTTCTCTAACGTTTATAATGTTATAACATGCAACATATCTACAATAAATGATTTTTAATTAATCTCATACTTTAAATACAATTATTTAAGAAATCAGTTAATTATTCATTAATACTATGTGAACATATTCAGTGTCACTGGTACAAAATGCTGTTTAATAGAAGCACAGCTTTGATTAACTAAGAAATGATAATTTTCAACTTAATACTTTGAACGGTGTCGGATTAAAACCCTTAAAATTTAAAAGGTTTCAAATACTTAAAAGATACATGTACATCTAAGTAGATATAAAATAAAATATTTTCACTTAAATATAAATAATTAATAAATTAATAATTTTATTTTTCTTTAAATATAAAATAAAATTTTATTTTTCGTAATGGAACTTTTGGTCTTAGGAATTTTAGAAATCCGGAACTTTAGAATTTTGAAAAGTTAAACCTTGAAACTTTGGACTTTAGAATTTTCGAAATGTAGCGATTCGAAGATTTTTATATCGTGCAAGTTAAACTTCTAAAAGCTTGGTAATTTGGAAATTTAAGGATTTCATAATTCGAAATTTGTGGATTTGAAAATTTTCAAATTTTCAATCTAAACTTTTGGAAACTTAAGAACTCTTACATTTTGGAATTTCCTTATGACAAAGAGTAGTGCTGTTTATTCTTCGAAGAACTTAGTTACGAGATAACGAAGTATTACGTTTGTTTTTGATAATTGGGACTCTTCTATATTTAGAAAAATAGGAAGTAACAATTAAGAAAATATCTCAATCATTCATTAAATAAATTATAACACAAAAAGATTGTGATGTTAAATCCACTGCCTGAAATAATTAATACTCTGAATGGATCGAGGCACCGATTCCCAAATTTGAAATATTTCAATTTTTTTCTTATTTTGTGCAAGGAAAAGATAATCTCAAATATAATTTCACGTAAACTGTTATTGCCATTTTTCATCGTGTCTTTGTAGAAGATCGCACAAGGCTGCGATATATGTTTGTGCCATTTGAAGAGTTTCGAATTTACTCAGTTTGTGATCTGCTCCGAGACTGGGCACAACTTCGCGTAACTTATCGAACGCGTCGTTTAATCCATTCATGCGACGTCTCTCGCGAGCATTTGCGGCAAGGCGCCGACGCTTCAAGACGCTAGGTGACGGTGGTATATCTCTGGAACGTCGTCTTCCCCTTCGAGGACTATTGGTAGGTGATATCTGTTTCTGAAAAATAATTGTAAAAGAAAGTGTGCTTACATTTCGTCTTTCTTAATAAAACTGTACCTAAACTGCAAGAACGTAGAAATTTGGTAATTTATACTAAAATATTTTATCTGTATCATTGCTTAGTTTCATTTAAGAAGAAATCTTTGAAATTAATATCAAGGGATGATTACATATATGTATAAGCAAAGTTATTCGCAATATTGCCCTGAAAACCAATTTCGAGGACACCAAAAGTGAATGTTTTCTTCTGTACGAATGTTCTTCTTACCATTGCTATTAATATTTTTTTCTAGTATAATATGACATGTGACGTTAAAATAATTTGTTTATATACTAAAAGGTTACTTTATAAAAAGCGTTAAAGATACTTCATTTTCTTATAGAATAATCTAACAAAGCACGCAGGTTTGGTTATGATAGTTTTGCATTGCGATCATGAATGAATGCGGCGAAACCTTGAGGATGGACAATAGTGCTCTTGAAGGAAAAAAATAACATTAAGAAAACAATTATATAGAATATTTTCGAAACTTTTTACACGTTTAAAAAAGAAATAAGCAATTATAGCTTATCAGTTTTTTATTTAGCTTAGTCTCTTATTTTGAATAATTTTATAATGGAACCTTTATAAAAATATGACTAACAATAAGTTGTCTTTTAAAATAGTGATGCTCAATTAAAAGAGCCAGAATGTTAACTTTTCAAATCTCTAAATCCCTAAATTAAAAAGTTTTCAAATTTCCATATTTCGAAATTTATAAAATCCCGTATTTCGAAATTTCATGTATTAAATTACTCATTCCACGTTCAAAAAATTCAAGTCGTTAAATTTAAAAACAAACGAGTTTTTAAAAGATTTTGTCTTAAAGACTATATGTATAAATACTTTTTACAAAAATTCTAAGAAGCATCATACAGGGCAACTACGGCTAATATGAAATACTGCAATAACTCAGAAAAGAAGTAATAAAATTTATCAGTAGCAATATAAAATATTTCGTTATAAACATAAAACAATCATATGAACATTTGAGTTTCAGTCGAAAGCGTACAGTCGAATGTAAATCATTGTTTCTCCTTAGGATAATTATTATTATTCTGTTAAAATACGTATGTAGACAATATAGTGCATGCTGAGTGTCTTTCTCGTAACATCGCATATGCGTGCATGGTAGTACCGTTCGACGAGTCAATTTCATAAATTCGAATGTGAGGTTCGATGATTACAAAAATGAAGTTTTTACGAGTACAGCAGTTATCAATAGACTTCATCACAGTGTTGGGTGCTCATGTATTTTTAGACAATAATAAATACCGTATGTTTAATAAAATCGAATTTTCGAAGGTGCAGGATTGAGACAGATGCTGATGTAAACAAGCAAGATGCCCATAAAAAAACAAATGTGAATCTGCGACGTTAACTACATACATATTCCTCGTTAATAATACATAGTACTGTAAGTTATATTGCTATCTTTCAAAGCACATTATAGTGACAATAAGATAAATAGACCCAACGTATTCACATGTAAACAATATGCTGAATACATAAACAAAGGAAAGTAATATCATGTAAGGCAATATAACCAAAAATAGTTGCCAAAAATACTATTTGCCTTTTTCATTTAAATAATTTTGGAAGTTCCAAAAGTTGGGAATTCAGAAAATTTGAGAGTTCAAAAATTTTGGAATTTAAAAAATTATATTGAGAATTTGAGGTTTGAGGATTGGAGGATTTGAGAATTAGAAATCAAAATTAAAAAGAAATTTTTAATTTTGAGAATATGAGAATTGGAAATCTGAGCTTTTGAGAATTAAATTTTTTTTAAATTTGAGTTTCTTGAAAGCTTGAGAATTTTAAAATTATGAATTGTAGGAAGCTTAAAAATTTGGTAATTTAGAAATTTGAAGTTTTCAAGCGTAGAAAATTCGAATCCATTTGTGTCCACAGGTGCATGTCCATATATTGCTTTTTCGCGGATACAGTTGTCTATTAGCAGTTTGAATCGTCACACGAACGACATTGTATTGCGAGTTATCTCGCCCATAGCTGTGCAAGGATTGAATGAAACAGGCTGCGTATATGTATAGTTATAGTGATAGCAGTAGTTTTCAACTGGACAGTTGAATCGCTTGATGTCGTAACTCACCTGTGCAGACGTAACAGGTTCCCAACAGTTTCTTCGTTGCTCAACGTTCATTCGCATTGGTTTGCCGGTGTCGAGGGTCTGACACTTCTGTTCTTGAGGTGGGGTTTCGTAGCAATAGGCTGGTGAATGGTATTCCACAGAACTGTCCTCATGTAGTATCGAACTCGGAGAAGCAGTGTGACTTATCGTGTGTTGGGGTTCGTACCTAATAAAATTGTATCGAATTTCTTTATTATATTTTCAAGATATTGTTCATTTTAACTAGGGATGAGTTTGAAACATATTTTTAAATTCTCGAAATTCAAATTCAAAGTTTTATAAAATTTAGGAACTCTTGAAAAAAGAGTAATATCTTATTTTGAGGTCTGATGCCAATCAAATTTTTCAAGTTTATGTACATCACACAGCTGCTCTGCAATTTTGCAATCGACATCGAGTGCCAATCTGCTTATATGTAGTCCTCAAAAATTTCTAATTTTCTTATTTGGATACCAAGAGTTTTAAATTATGAAAAAAATTCATAGTTCTAAATTCCTAAAACTTGAAAAGTTCTTGTGTTCTTGAGGTTTTAAGATTTCGACTTTCAAGAAACCCATCCCTAATTTTCATATATTACATAAATATCCTTAGTGCGTGAAAATGTAAATTTGTGTTTTGTGGTATTTCTTACATTTAAGATGTTCATAATAAAAGTGAGAGTACTTCATTCTTTATAAAAATTTAATTTACATTTTTTTTAGTTTTTGCATTTCGCACATATGAGGAATATAGCAAATCATACTTTTCTTTTAAATAGAGTTGCTATACTTTCATTATAAATAGGTCACTTAATTATTTATTACATGAGAGTTAACGGTCAAGTTGGGTCAATTATAACCCAAACTTTCAAAATCTTAACAATAATGTTTCAACTAAAATTAAATACATTTACGAATGAAAGACGTTAAAAAGACGTTTTATATAGGCTAAAAAGGGAATAGGGTATATTTGGAATGTGAAAATGACAAAGGTTTACAAATAACATTTTACATTTTCTATTAAGTAATTTTCAACCAATAAATAATCATATATCTAATTATATGCCTAATTATAGATATATCTAATAATATATTACCTAATAAATTATCAAATATATCACAAAATTGGCATAAATTCTTCTATTAATAAATATCGGTAAATGTAAGTAAATAAATGTATTTTAAAAAATATTTTCATACATAGTGACATATCATACTTTGTTGTATTACCATCCATCTTTGTTGTGTTTCCATGCGAACGAAATTATATTATAATAAGTTTTTTATTACATTCTGTTGCAAATATACTACATAAAATAATGTAAGTACTATGAAATGTTCAAACTTTGTGACGCATAAATGAATAATCCTTTAAATGATGGAATTATCGAAAATATTTTTTATCGTTTGTAGCTATGGCATTTTGTTGGGTCCAAAATATTGCAAATTTGCAATACTATATTATTATACTGTTAGCATTTTTTTTTTGTAAAAAATATTTCTTTATTAGTATTTTTTAATTAAAATTACTTCTGAAAATTCAAAAATGTATTTTCTTGTAATTAAAGAAACCATGCAACAAAAGCGTTCAGTAATAACCCTACTTTAAAAATGTCTTACACTTTTCATATTATATAATTTCTCCTTATATTGTTATAAAGAAATTAAAACAAATTTAATAATATTCTATTACAAATTTCAATGAGTCAATAACAATATATTATACACATTGATTCATTAATAGATTGTCATCATACACAACTATGTATCATACTTCACATAAATTATATAAGTATAATTGTAATTATAATTATATACAAAGTTCTCTTATACGCCAAAAATAAAAGTCCAGACCATGAACATTTTAATAGTTTTGAAAATAAATACATATTCATTTTATGTATAAATTATGTACTATATATTACATAATAGAATGTAAATAAATATTAATACATACATACGATTGTACTTTCCTGAAGGCGTATGCAGAAAAACAAGTTAATAAAGAGATTATAAAATTTCAGATGTAAATGTTACATTGATACCAGAAAATATTGAAATCAGAAAATGTCACTTATAACATACAAATTTAAAATTTAAAGCTTGAACCAAATGGTCATATAAACCCATTATTATATAAATAACTTCTTTTATATAAAATTATTAGTTATCAGTTGTAACAATTATTGACTAATTTCAAAGCATATAAAATTCAACACGATTTGATGACATAAGAATACCAGAAAATAACGCATATGAGCATCAATTTGAAGTTTAAGAGTCGATGAATATAAATAAATACTTTGTCAATATTCACAATACAAATTGATTAATTTCGCAACTTATTATTGTTCATGAACGAATATTCAATTTCCAGTTTAGGAACTATAATGCCTCACATTCAAAGAAAAATAATTATCAAACTGTAATTTTCTCATTAGATAAATAAAAAAATTGTTAGAGTATCGTGATATGTTGAGAGATGTCGCGAATTGACAAAATCAGCATTCATTTGTCAATGCATCGCGAATTGCAGAGACGCGCATTTTGGCGGCAGTGCGAGTATAGACGCCGTAAAATAAAGACGTTGTAAAACACACACTATTAATTTTATATTAAAACTGCGTAAAACCCAACAAAAGTCTATTAACATCATATTTAATATTTAATATTTGAGCAGTAAATATTTTGAAATTTAAAAATTGTAATCAAATATGGCAATTTGGCAAAGAAATAATTTAATAAAAGATATTAATTTTTATATTGTAACTTTTAATATTTGTCTAATAACAATTACTATGCCTACTATAATGATACGTAATTTATCAATTTTACAGTTATACGTAGGGTTCCAATATTTTACTACTAATGTTCGTTACCATAATTATTATTCGATATCACATACAAGATGTTCCAATTCCGTATAACTGTACTAGTATATTTTATAAACAAAAATAAGAAAAAATGTTTATACGAACGTAAACCTTCAAATACATTATTAAAGATTATTAAAAAAATGTAAAAGTTGACAAATATTTGTATTAAAATCCTATGTTTATACAATATTCTTGTATCAGTTATTTTTTGTAAAACATGCTGGTTAAATTTTATATTAAACTGGGATCGAGAAATAAAACAGTCCAAAATCATTTTATACTTTTGTTATAACTCTATTAATAAAATGTTGAAACGTATATTAATGTAATATTCCCCTTGTATTTTTACGAATGGAATTCTACGGATAGAATTTGATGATAAAAACTAGGACACTGCATATAATCTAAGATTATTTCTTCTTCTTGCATGTTTTTATTTAAAGTTTAACTTGAAACTTATTTACTCTAATTGTAAGTATCTGTAAAATTGTAGTACATGTCTACTGTTTACTTTGTCTTTACATTGTATTTCTTTTTGTGTAAAGTGGTTTTGCCTGTAAATAAATAATTTACTTCATATTTATATATTCTAAGTTTTACATTTTTCAAAACTCTATACTTCCTATTTTCTAACATCTACTATTTTCCTTCGCATCAAATTTTGATATTAATTTTGTAAATTTTATTTAAATGTTTAAGTGTGCTGTTAACTCAGTTTAGCCATTCCTTAAACTTCAAATTATTATGTCATAAGTGTTATTTTGCAATTTAATCCTGCAATCGAATAGTAACTTACCTCTGCGGCGTTACAGGTGTCAAAACACTGAAAGAACTTCTATCGTAGGAATCTGGAGTTCTCGAATATTTTATGACTACTTCCTTCTCGTAACTGATCACTTCAGTTTCTTTTCTAGGTGTTAATTCACCTTTGTGCGCATAATTTTCTGTATATGGAACTTTAATGGGATCGTAACTAGGAGAATTGTATGGGGAAGGATACAACGTATCGTAAGTTCTTGTTGTAGTAGGATATGTATTCGTTATTATTTCAGTGGAAATTGGATAATCTTGATGATTTGTCAAAAGAGCCATCCTTTATTAAAATCAGTCACTTTGTTTCCTCGCGGGAACTCAACTACACTTTGAATATTGTTTGGTCACAATATTACGTGAAATATGTTCTCCAATGATCCATAAATTTATTTGCATTAAATTTTAGATCAAATCAATGTATAAATGACCCTTCACAATCATCAACATCTTGAAAATGATAAAAATGGAATTCAAATTTTCAACACAAATATTTGCTAAAATTCAAGGTTGACTTTTCAGATCATAAGTTCACAAACACTTATATCGTTCGATCAATAACTACTGTTTAACAAGTCAATATTCAACACATTCATCTCGATGATCCAAGTTGTTACTTTCGCCCCGTTGTTACAAGTTCTTCTAAAACGACCGCACAAGTATCATGAAAACTCTTAATTTTCCACCTTCAATCTCGAACTCTGTCTATCTGCATATCACACCGAACAAAAGAGTTACATTTCAAGCAGCACATTGTGTCCGATTGAAACATCACCGTTGAGGTCGTTGTTGATTTCTAGCTTCGTTCAGTACTAACAAAATCACTACGAACTAGAAGCGACCACGTTGAGGCAAGTATGTCAAAGTCGTGCGATTACTTCAACAATAGGAAGAAGTCAGTGATCCTCGCGGTGTAAAGGCTGAGGTATGAGTGTGGCGCGTGCCGCATCGTCCTTCAGCACATCAACATATGGTTCCCATTTCGTTTTATGTCCATTCTATAGGTGCACCTGGTGGGCCCATCCTGGACTCTTTCTGTACCTACCCTCTCTTCTTCTTTATCCTACAGAAAGCTACCGCCGCCACCACCGCTCGTTTTTTCCCTCTTCCTTATCTGCTCGACTTACACAGAAGCTGAACACTTCCTGAGGAAGGAGGCAAGTTAGTACGTACCTGTTGATTTAGATAACGGAGGCCAAAGAAGGGGGGACCTGTTGATTTAAATTCCGCTTAAAGAATCTGTGGAAGGGGTACGGCGTTGTTTAAAGGGAGAACATCGAAGAAATTTAAAGAGTACGAGTTTTGTTGCTGAAGTATAAAAATATTAATTCATTTTTTATCTAAAACAAATTTACCAGTGCCCAAATTGAACCCCAATAAACAGTTAAGTGAGAATTTTGTTGATAATAACATTTTTACTTATTTTGAACGTTTGCATTATTCAAAGTGTAATAGCAAATTGCATTAACTTTACGTATGTACAATTACAGGTGTTTATTTAAACTTAATAGTTATGTCACGCAAAAATATTATTGTACAATATTTCAAGATTTAACGTTTTCAATCTCATATTATAATCGTACAAGCAAGTGAGGAAGTATTTTTGTTAAAGCTGTAATTAACTATATTTGTCTAAATAATGAAATTAAGTATTGTATTTATCACTAATATGTAATAACATGACACTGATCAATTAAACACCATCGGTACAAACAGATCTTCATACGAAACTGAATTATTAAATGAATCATCCGTAGTAAATTTATTATACTATCTATATTTATTCTATTAAAGTATATTTTATAATCTATACACTTATGTTAATATTAACTATATAAGAATGTAATTCTGCTTATCTTTAACTGGTAACATTCACATTGCACGAGAATTACATACCTAAATCGCGAGGACATAAGACCCCAGCCACTAAAAATGTTTCTAACAAAGAAGCTACTCATTATTTGAAGTTGATAAAAATTACAAATCATTTTTGAAAATTGTTTTAACATATTTTACAGCTGATTTAAATTTAAACATTGAATATAAAAAAATAATTCAGAAACATAAGAAAATTGAAATAACGGCGACTTTCACAGAAAAATTTCAAATCTTCCACAGTTTATGGAAAAAGATAACAAATGTACCGGGATCTCAACGAAGGTATTTATTTAAATTTTCAGAATATAAAATGGATGAAATTAAAGCTGAATTACCTTCGATCGTTTCATACCCCAGTGTGATATGAATGGTTAATCTCAATATAATATCAACATAACCTAAAATTTCATAATATACTTTTTTACACTTTTTTCACATTATAAAGTCACATATGTAAGTTCTTCAGATTGAGAAGAAGAAGGAAAAAGATTATATGCAAAAAAGTGTTCGCGAAACAATAAAAGCCTTAAATAATCTTTTTATTGACAATTCGATACAAGTTACTAGTGAAAAGTTTCATGTATCAAAATGAGTTTAGATGAAAAACAACCTATGTAAAATTGCAACCTTTCATAAAATATTACTGTTTCGATTTCTCTTTATTAAATGATATTAAGTTAATGTGTATTTCATTATTAAATTTATTAAACTAATATATATTTAATATTTAAAAGAGTAACAATTAATAACTGGTACATGCTATGAATGTTGTATAAGTATAAACATTTTCAACTTTTAATTAATTCAAAATTTGTCTTATCAGAAATGTAGATTCTTGTTATTTGACCTGAAAGTAGAAATTTTTCCTTGTAATAACCTTTTCCTTATTCTTTTGATTATTATGACATTTACCGTAATAAGTATGATGTAATTTCTGAACGTGCTTCGTAGTTCTACAATACGAGGCTCATTGATTTGAAAAATCATAATTCTTAGTTGAGAACACTTTTGTTAAAATTCGATACAACTTTTAAAATTTTGATATCTACTGTTTCGCAACTAAATAGAAAGTACAATAAAAAAGATTCGGTTCTACCATAGTCAAATAAAGGCGAAAATTATACAAATACAGGAGTCCAATGTGTGAGTTCCTAATATGAGATACAGCTTGTTCGTTTCTGAAATTTATTTTTTCTGTATTTTTTCACAAATTGGAAATATGAGATCTATATCTCTACCGCCATAATTTGCATAAAGTCACTCATGACATTTCATACATGGTGATCCACAACTGACTATACAACAGTAAAGGGGACTTAACAATTAAGTCGAATATAGAAAATAAAACTTGTTCATATCAAATCTGATTTTAAAGAAAATTGAATTTGAATGTTCGTTAAAATATTGTTTTATTTACCAAGTTATTTGGTTTCTTCAACGATTAATGGATATTGTAGATTAGTACATGCGATTATTAATATTGATAAAATCATTATTATTAGTCCTTCATAATGTTGTTAATTAGGTCTGTAGTTATCATACATTCAACTACGTTCGTCATTAGTACGTCTACACCTACATTGTTATGTCTATCAACAATATCATGAAGAATAATACCTAATAATCCATTTTAACGCTACTAATAATTACACCCATTAATAGGCAAATTAACGAAAAGCTTATTGAAATTGTCATCTTTTTTTTATAAATATTTTAACAAATTTTTAAATTTAATTTTCTTAAAAACTAAGCCATATATACAAAAATTTTATGTTATATTTTCGATTTATTTGCTCGTATAGAATCACCCCTTATCCTGTTATGCCAGCAATTACTAACCACCTTGCACATTTTAACATTAAGAATATAAAATTAATTTAACCGTTAAGTGTATAAAGTGCTGCCGATGGGCGTAGGAAGACTGCGATGCTGAAAATATAATTTTTATGTGTTTAGAAAATACTTATACGGATGTTAAAAAAGAAGTTTAAATATTTCATTTAAATATAGAAAAAGTTCAAATAAACACGGAGAAAATATAAATATTTTAAAGTTATAACAATAGTTGGTCGTAATATTCAATGACGAAACGATTAAACAAAATCGTTTAAATAGAATTTTATCACTATACTTGATTTGAATATAAAAATGCTCTAAGTAAGAGTTACAAAATTCATAGCAATCAAAATATTAAATATATTGATATGAGTCACGTTATATTGTAAATTGTTAATTATAATTGTTATAATTTATTTTCACACCGTGTTTAGTTCTATGTGGATTCATTTGTTTTTGTGTGTGTTTTTTTTTAATAGTGTAATTTATTACTGCAAAACTGAAATGTCATATTTCAAAAATATGAATTTCAATGTTTTCAACAGAATTTTTTCAAAGGAAGTTCATGCAGAAACATACTCACGTATTGTTGACCCTAATGATTTTAATAAGTGAAGATGATGGGATTGAGATACGATCTGCCTGTCCTAAAAACTGAAAGATGTGGGTTCTTTATTATCTGATCACGTGAAAAATGAAATAAACATTTAAAAAATTTGTGCAATCAACAATACACCGTATGTTACTAACTTTTACATTGTATGAGACATTGCCATTGGAAATATTTAAACAAAAAGTGTTATGATGATAGACAGTGAATTTTTAAACAGGAACATACTAATGCAATTTGATGACAACCATATCATAAAATAGTGTTTATATTATATAAATTTAAAGGCTGAAATGACGATAATAAGTACATAAATGTTTCACCAATATTCTTTATACCAAATAGCTGATTCTTCATTGAAACAAACAAGAGATTAATCATTTTAGATTTAAATATTGTTTATTATGGACTACCTATTTAATTTTTAACGGCTTATGAATCAAAATGACAATAACATTCCGATTCATTCTTGAATAAATAATCTGCAGTTTTCAAGTTATATTATTTTAGTTTATGCATTCTGTAGATGAATGAAAACTGAAAATTTATATTTCGCAAATATTGGAAATTGAATATTATTGGTTCATGAATAACATTAACTTGTAAAATTGGCCATTTGCGTTAAGAATATTCGTGAACCATGTACGCAGTAATTTTCATTTAACTTCAATCTTCAAATTGACGAATCACGAGTACCATTTTCCTATCCATTAATGTTATAAAATTACGACGAACTGAAATCTGTTATTAAAATTGAAATAAATCCAAATTCTACATATGCATTTTAATCGTATATAATTCACAATGATGAGTATTATTGGAAAAGTGATTAAAAATAAAATGAACACAACATAGCAAAAAATAAATCCTGGCTCTTATGAAAATTTCAGAAAACATTTTACGTACCAATTACACTATTAGAAAATGTTAAAATTTTAGGTTTATATACCTACCGTTAGTAAGTAAAAAAAAACTTTATATTATTCTCCAATATACGAAGAAATAAAAAAATTTTTAAAAAAGAACCAAGGGTGACAATGCAGACCGTGATGAAAATTTACTCCCAATTTCCGATTTTCCGCCCTTTGTCTCGTGTAAAGGAAACGCTTGGACAGACATTCGCTGTTCTGTTAGTTAATTTCAGTGAAACAGCAGATGCTTTTATAATGGAAGCTACGGAAATGTAATAACTGCATATAATATGCGTATCTTGTTCGTGGCTGTAATAAAAAGAACATACGAAGGAAGTGAAAACAAAGAGAAGACAGTGCATTTTATGTGGATCAACGAGTCTTACTGTGCGTATTGTTCTGTTACCGTTATATCTTTGATACCACTCTTTGGTAAATGTTATTTAGGATAATGAATAAAAAGATCTCAAATTCGATTCATTCGTTATTCATTTATAACAAATAAAATGAAATCATTCGACAGGAATAAACACATTGAACTTAATTATCGTTGTTTAACTATTGTCCGGAATTTTTATATAAATAAAGCAAATCAATTTTTTTTTCTGATCAGTTACAATATATGGATACTAATCAAAAAATGAAGTATAAATACAATGCATGTGATACATATTTGAACTTCAAATTTCTAAATCCATAACACGAATTTTAGTTTTTCTGCATGATAGAATGAAATTTTTCTCAATTTCTCTTATAGTTTTGCTATAAAAAAGGCAGCCTTATTATTAATTTTTACTTTGGACATCCGTCCGTTCTTGTTACAGTCGTTGTGTAAAACTTTGTTAATAAACAATAATAACATAATACATATATTTTACTGTGCAAGAACTGTATTATACTTATATTTGCTACTTTTTCGACAAAAAAGGCATTCATTGCATAAGGATGAATATTTGCAGACATTACTCTAAATAACAGCTGAAAAGCAAACGTGTATATGTATATTAAAATTAATTAATATACTTCACTAATTTGAGGTGAAGTGCAAATAATATAAAAATAACACTTTTGCGTTCAATCAACCACCTTGCTGTAATTTTAAATATTATCTGTAATTATTATTAACATATTATTTCTTATTTTCAGAAGTATGGCAATAAATACTATTGTAAACTAACTATATAAAAATGGTTATTTCAACGAAAAAACTAATAGAACTTT